CCAATCTCACTCAGAAGCATTTCCTGATAAACAGTTTATACAACATATCAATTCAGAAATACCAGATATCCAAATATAATCAAATACCCATACATGGGCGCATGCATAACATGGCTCCGTGCCACTATATCTAACAACATGCCAGCAAAACGTAAACCTATCTGAATACTACATCATCATATAACGTTCCTGAATACTCAAATGTACATGCATCAAACTGACATACATGTACAAAACATATACAGGCCATATACAAAATAAAGGATCAATGTCATGATCCATCAAAGGCGGAAATACAAAATGACATTAATATACTTCCAAAAAGTAGTAGCCTACGGCCACTCAAAATCCAATCCGTCAACTGCCTCAGCCACGTGTCGCGTCCCTGCCTAGTGAGGACTCACCGGGAATCTGGGCACCTGAAAATATGTCCCCAACGAGGGGTGAGATTACAAATCTCAATAAGCTCCAGGTTTATAAAGAATTCTCCATACCCCTGGCTCACTCCTGCATGAAAGTCAGATACAGAGTATACAAATACAAAATATAACAGATATCATAACAGAACAGAGCATATATCCATATCATATCAGAGATGTGCGCCGTCATTCCCAAGGGAGGACCCCAAGCGGAAATCAACGCACGTGTTCCCGAGGGAGGACCCCAAAGCGGAACCAGACATATCAGAGGCGTACACCATCAGTCCCGAGGGAGGACCCCAAAGCAGACATCTGGGTACTATACAATCAATGGCCAGAGATTGTTACAGAAATCATATTACAGAAGTCATATCAGAGCAAAACTTATCATGTTATCAAATAACTCTATATGAATGCATCTATACAAAGCATCTAAATCACAGTCATACAGTCCAACCATAGTTCACTAACCATGGTGGAGCACTCAAGCAGGAAAAGACTCCTTAAACATAGAGCTTACCTCTTGAAGCTTTACCAATACCCTTACTTGTTGCACAAGTTACTTATATATCTTCAAGAGATTCTGATTCCTTTTTAGTCCCTAGGTACACCTAGAGCAAGAATCCACAAATACCAATTAATAAAATGCCATCATGCCTAGTTTTCACATAAGGCATACATTTTATCGCTTCTTTTCATTTCTTTGCGTTTTTGCCAATCCTATGCCAATACACAAGTCTAGACCTCTTTATAACCGTTGGTGTTCTTTAATTTAATCACCTATTCCCTTAGGAATTTTCAACATAAATCATGCTATTTTTCTTCAAAACTCATCACTTTTATACAATTTATTACAACACATTTTATTTAAAATAAAATGTACAAAATATATCCCTAAGCCACCCTATATGTCGAATTCCACAATGACAATAGGCAAAAGGGTTCTTTTCTTTTTACTTATTCTTTCTTCACTTAGTTAGTAACTTACACACACATGTATATATTTATATATATACATATCCACAATGTCTAATTAAATTTTAAACATTAAACTCCTCCAATATACATCAAGGTCGAAACATAGGAGCATACTACATAGGATTTTTTCCCACTTTGGCATTCTCACTAATGCACCAAATTTCCACTTATTCCAACATATTAAACCTTCCCAATACATACAATAAATTTTGTACATCATCCCCTAATTACCCTATCAAGGCCGAAATCTAGGGCATCTCACCATGGGATTTTTTTCCAATTTTATACATGTTCACATGCTTATTCCACCTTCCTACACCCAACACATCAACAATCCATCATCAATTCAAATTTTAAACTAATTTATATCTCACTCAAAACATGCTCATAAATTCCAAGACATAAATCACAAAAATAAAACTATAGGATTAGAGGTTTCTCACCTATAGTAGCTATTCCAAGCTCCAAAGAACAAACCCCAAGCTTTGCTCACTCAAAAGCCCCACTTTTCTACAAGCATGAATAGTGTCACGAATTGGGTTTGATGAATAACTCTCTCCACAAGCCAAATCAGCCCAAATGGAGTGGTGGAATGGATTCACTAGCCTTTTTCCTTAAAGATTCATGTATGGCATCATGGCTTTTGGTGAGAATTTGAGTGGAAATGAGAGGAAATAAAAAAAACTAACCTAGGTCCCTTTCCCCATGGAAGCGTCGAGCATCAGTGAGAGAGACGAAAAAGAAAGGAAACAGCGCGCAGAAAGAAGGAGAAATAAGGATTTCACCGTGTGTAAAATTTAAGTTACTTTAACTGGGTAAAAGTTTATCTATCTACACACCTCCATTTATTACCAAATTTTACCTAATGGACTAGAATATTTTTCTAGTCATATTTTTAACTTTACTTTCACTTTTCGGGTAACTTTGTTTACCCTCATTTTTATCCCTTAACTGTCATTTTAACTCATTTTTCACTAAGGGTGACTTTATTTCTTTTACTTCTAATTATTCTTCAATATTAAATCCCCAATTACTAGTGAGGGTTATTATATGTGAGATGCAAGCAAATCAATGATCATGATTTGGTCTAAAACTTCTTATTCTTACACTGGAATAAGAATAACTTGCCCTATATATATATATAAGTGCTTGAAACCTTTTTCGTGAAATAAGTCATCTTTACTAAGGGTCTTTTTGGTGAACATGATAGGATAAGAGGGCCAGATAAGAGTAGGATATGAAATGAGACTGATAAATGCATATTTTATCTTGTGTTTGATTTGCATTAGATAAATAGTTTGGTAGGATAATGTTATCTTATCTTATGTTTTAGACAAACTATATAGTGTCTTGATATAATATAAATAGACAAAATACCGCTTTGTTTTACATAATTTTATATATATTTGTAAAATTGATTTTTAAATTATTTTTTATTTATTTGCATATTAGTTATTATTTTAAACTATTAAAAAAATTTAAAATTCATAATTTTTTCTTAAATATATTGAAATACATAAATAACTTACGATTTTTTTTTAAAAAATATACCCTCACCAAATAAAATCTTGAAAACTAAATTTTAAATTATTTGTCAATATTGTTGGCGGATGGCTAGTGATAGTGGGTGGTATTGGTGACCGATGTGAGGGATGAGCACAATGGATGGTGGTAATGGCGTCAGTAATGACTGATGATAAATGTGATGGTTGACAGATGGCAACGACGGCGATGGTGAGTGGTGGCGGTGATGATTGGTGCCTGGTGGTTGGGGTTGGGGGCGGCGGTGGCCTAAGGTGGTGCCTGAATGGTGATGGCAGGCTAGGGTAGTTATTAGTGAAAGTGGTGATGATGGCGATGCTAGCGGATACAGGTGGCAATTGTGGGTTTGAATTGTCATGGTAGTGGTGACTAATTGTGGTGGTTGTGGTAAAGGTGGTCGATGGCTGGCAGTGGTGGTAAGGGCTGACCTTCACATGCCCGACAAAGTTCCTAGAATAAGAGCATATGTCTATATTTAAAATGAGAGTATGTAATATTTGTTATTCTATCCTATTTATTCCAAACCCAAGTCTCCCTAAAGATAACTTATCCTACTATGGAGAGGATAAATAAGGCAACAATATAAACTTATTATATTATATCGATTCACCAAATAATGGATAAGAATAAAATATAATAATTATCATATCTTGTTCTCTCTCTTGACTAGCAAATGTACTCTAAAACAAGTACTTAGAATGTACTTAAAAAAAAAACAAGTGTTTAAAAAAAAAATAAAAAAAGAACCGGTGCTTGAAAAAAAGACTGTAGTATGAAATTATGGTAAAGTGTATGTCATTTTAAAGGATGTAAAGTTGTGTCATTTTAAGAGAGAGAAAGAGATAGATAAAGGAAGAGAGAGAGTTGACAAAAAAAATAAAAGTGTAGGTCACACTTTTTTGTGAGAGTGAAATGATATAAGTTGTGTCATTTAAAAAGATAAACACTTTTCCCATGAAATTAATGCTCAAATATGTTTCTCACATTGTTTCAACAACTATAATAAATGACCCCAATTAGGGGTGTAAATGGGCTAGGCCGGTCTACAGGGGCCTACGACCTAGTCTATATCAGGCCAGACTTGGCCTATTACAAATAGTAAAATAGAATAGGTCTAGGCTTTTAAAAAAATCTATTTAGAAAACAGGCCATAGGCTTTTTTTGTACATGTTGAGTTTATAAGCCTACAGGTCGGCCTATATCATATTATTTATTTAAAATGTAATAAATAAAATTATTATTTTAATAATTTTGAATAATAAAATAATATTATTTTAATTATTCTTTTAATTGTTGAATGTTTAATAGGCTTAAACAGGCCTAGACCAAGACTTTCATTTTTTAAATACATGTCAGGCCAGACTGTTATTTGAGGTCTACACAGGCCAATAGACCAGGCCATACCCACTTTTTTTTAACATAGGCCTCGCCTATTTAAATAAAAGCTTAGCCTAACCTATTTACACCCCTAACCCGAATACATGTATTTATAATTTATAAAGAATTATAACTGTTTGGAGGTAGCTGGGTTGCATATAATGTAAAAAATAGTTATTATAACAAATGCATAAAATAATCAATTATTTGCGAGATAGAAATCACTGTTAGATGCCTCATTGTTATTATTATTATACGGAAAAAATTACTCTTATGTAACATAAGACTAGTTTATCTCCTGTAGATCCATAAAAAATCGTGATATTCTTTTTTTTGTAAATAGTGGACTCCATCACATGTGTCTTTACATCATAATATATCTTCTCTCATATAACATGAGATTAGATGAACCCTTATTATATATATATTTTTATTAATTATTATTGATGAATCAGTGAAGAAGATCTCCAACGGTCAAAGAATAAGGGAAGAGGAATCCAATGTAATGTTCACTCTCATTTTCCATATGACCCATAACGGTCACCTTTGCTATCACACTTTCTCTTTCTCTCTCTCTCACACACACTTCACGATATCTGGTTTTCTGGGTCTGAATTCATTCGCCTCTCTCTCTCTCTCTCTCTCTCTCTCTCTCTCTCTGTCTAAGTCTCTGTCGTGTGATCAATGGAACCCGCGAAAATCGATTGGAAGAGAGTAGAGTGGAACTTCATGGAAGACGAACTCTACGAGCACATCAACGCACCAAAGTGGTTTGACTTCTTGTCCCCTGCTAAGTCCCTCCATGATCATGATGATGAAGCCTGGTTTTGCAAACCTGGTAACTTTCTTTTCTTTTCTTTTCTGTCTCTCTCTCTCTCTCTCTCTCTCTCTCTCTCTCTCTCTCTTCTTCTTCTTCTTCCTCAATGGGTCTTGTTAATTTGGTGCTGGCTGTTGTTGTTGCAGATTGCAAACATCCCAAGACAGCAGAGGATTTTCTCAGATCAACAACTCCTTCCAAGGTTTTCCATACTTGTCTTCTACCCCCTCTTTTCTTTTTCTTTTTTTCTTATATCAGAGGCCCTTGTGTTCATTTTCTGTTTGGCAGCTTCGAAATTGTAAGAATTTTAGATTCTCAATCTTGGAAATTGTTTGGCAGCTTGTTTGCCTAGCTGTTTAATTTTTGTTTTTTCTTTTTGCTTTTTCTTTTTGCTTGGTCACTTTGTTGTATGCTTGTGTTCATTCTTCTACGGTTTCTAATTACGGTCTTATTCTAATGAATGGTCTTGTTACCTCTTTCTTTGTTTTAAATATTTTGTTTTTCTTTTTTTCTTGAAGGATTTTAGCCCGGCTTATGTTTCAGAAAATTTTCCATATAGTCACCAAAATAGAAGGTAATAAAATATAATATTTTTTCTTTTCCTATGCAATTCGAGATTCTGTTCCAAGATTGAAATTCACTAATTTGTATATACATTGAATATTGGTACAGAGATGCTAAAATCAAGAGAAGGGTGCCCGCCCTATCATCAGCTTCTCCCCAAGATGATACATCCAGATTCAACCAAGATAGTGAAAACCATAACCCGAATCTGTTTACTCCCCCAATTAAACCATTACAGCCCATTAAGGAAGCAATCAAGTCTAGTGAAGAGAAGAAGAGACTAGTTGATGACAATTTCCATGACAACAAGGTGCCTTCATTGAGATCAACTCTCTCCACGAAGAATTTGTTTGCTGGACGGCCTATTCTGAATCAAATCACAGAATTTTGCAATGAATTGAAGAGAATGGCAACAAGACCAAGGGAGAGAGATAATGCTGAAAATTTGAGCCCCATAGAGAGTGAAGCTGTTATGGAGAAGACCCCACATAGTCTTGTTCAAGCTTTGGCAGAGTCACATAGAAGAGAGAAAGAAAGGAAGCCACTGCTTGTAGTGTGTAAGGCTGAAAGATTGGAAGACATGTGTGTTAAAGGGAAGCAACAGAGAAAGAAGTAAGCATATTCTCCCTCAGAATCCATGTGTTTCCTTATAATTAGTGACTGTAGTGTAGCGTAATCTATGGTCCCTGTAGAAATTTTAGGAATTAGATGGAAAATGAAAAAGTAACTCATTTCAGTGAGGGGAATCTAATTTGAACTATAGAGACTAGTAGTTTTATTTACACATTAAATATGAGTATGAAAAGGCACTTATATACTCTCTGCCCTGGGTGTAACTACAAGCAACTGCTAATCACTAAGAAAGCAGACTCTTCTAATCACATAATAAAAATTTATATTTCTCAACAGTCCTCTATTCCACTGCTTGAAACAAATACATTGCTTTGATAAGTAGAATAACAGTTTGTCGGTTTAATATTTTCGACAACTAGCATGCCTACAACTGTGATAGTGCCAATTGAAATTGTAGTGTTAAAGAGTTAAATAATCATCTTCAATCTAAAAAAACTTCTTCTTAGGAGCCACATCTTCACTTCACAAGCATGTTTACTTAGTGCCAATTGTAGTGTTGAAGAGTTAAATAATTGTCTTCAATCTAAAAAAAAAAAAAACTTTTTGTTCATGTTCATACTCTTAGGATGCCACATCTTCACTTTACAAGCATGTTTACTTAGTCTACCTTGCCAAGAAGGGTGATGGTTAAGTTAGCCACCAGGAAGAACAAGTTCATGTTATTAAATGGTTACGCAACTGATAAGAACCTTGAGGAGCACCACCCCAAAAGCTAGCTCATAAGGTGTGAATATCCAAGGTATTATAAACCTCACATTAGTTGCCTATACAACCAATGTGGGCCAAGTCTCATACCTTATAAATAGGTCCTAACATTCCACCACACTCTGCAGCCCCAGCGCCTACGCAGGCTGGCTTTGCGCTAGTCTTTTAATAGCCCCGGACAAATACTGCAATGCTGGCGTCACCACCCATGCTGCTCGATTGCAACCGGGAGATATAGTGGAAGGCTCTTATACCATTTGATGAGAACTTTGAAGTGCATCACCCCAAAAGCTAGCTCAAAGGGTGGAAGTGCCCAAAGCCTTATAAACCCCACATTAGTTGCCCATACAACCAATGTGGGACTCCAAGTCTCATACCTTGCAAATAGGTCCTAACAGCAACTATTATAGGTAGTTCTATCATTCATATAGCCCTACTTGTATTGTAAATAAATCTCTTCTATTATAATTCTGACTTTTTACATCTCTAAATATTTTTCATGGTATTAGAGAGCCCCTTTAGAAATAACCAAACCATTTTGGAAGTTCTCATGGCATTCTCCACCATCTCATCATTTTCTTCAACTGCTGCGTGAAACTTGTCCTCTTCTACCCTCCCTTTTTCTACTTCAAACATAAAAAATTATATTCATGAGATGCTAGATTTCAGCAACAATCTTATGTGGCAATCTTTTTTCCTGTTCTCAAGGCATTTAATGATCTATGATCATGTTGATGCCTCTACTACCGTCCACACTCTACTATTTGCAATGATGATTACAGTCATGACACCGTTACACCCAACCCTGCCGTTCTCCAAATGCTGCAAATTGACTAGTTTATGGAGTATTTTGAATCCTTGACACAACAATAATGACACCTACGGATGCTTGAGCTTCCATTGAGAAGTGGTTTATTGTTAACAGAAAACATATTTTGTATACAATATAATATATGTCTAAAGAGCTATTGAAAATAAAACACATGCTATTGATACTCATGCACGCCTCTCTATGATGTTGACTTTTAAAATCTCTAAATTTTCTTCACCATAAATCCATGGTCAACTTTATGTCTCACTCCTTATAGTCCTCACACGCACATGCTTCCCCCTCTTGTACTCTCTTGTGCACCTCCCTCCGCATATGCCACCACTCACATACTATATGTATATTTTTATGACTCCCGATCTCTTTCATCTCCTTTACTTGTTCCAACTAGACCTTTCTACCTTCTTACGATGACATGACTTGCTCATTGAAGAGCCCCAATTTTTGTTCCTAAGGTTCTTTGATGAGCCAAGGCATGCGCTGAGAATTGAGGAAGAAGAAAGGAAAGGTATCTAAAAGTCAATAGGTATAGGACACATTCATCCAGTAAACATGGGTGTGCATGAATCAAATGATTAGAAATAGGCAATTATCTAACAATCTTGCAAAATGCAAATTCAGTGAATGTAAACTGTTGTTTAACTTGAATATCAACTATTGCAAGTTATCACTCTCTAGTATTTCCTGAGTTAATCAGTTTTGTATTACTGTATTCAGCAGAAGACCTGACGAAGCAGAAAACATGCCTATGACTCTTGACTTGGAGAATCTAAGACACAAAAGGGATGAGAGCTTACAACAAATTCGAACAAATCCTCCCTCTCCTCAATGCTTCTCTGCCACACGTGGACTCAATAAAATCACTCCTTCAAAGGCTTCTTCCAAATCCCAGCTAATGGTATGTAGGCTGCACTTATAAGGTCATACTCTTCTGATTGATAGATGACTGACATGACAATGCTAACATTTGATTAGACAAAATCAAACTATACCATCAAGATTAAAGATAATCAGCCTAAAAGAATTTCAAATAGGTTAGGCTCAAGGTTTTAATATTTTGTTCATTTGGACCAATCACAATCTTCTGCGTTGGGAGATATTACATGCTGGTCTTGATTAGCAAGCATCATTGCCTTGTTGGCTTCTTGACTTCCCTACTTCATCTTTACTTGCTGTTCACTTAAATGTCATAATATTTAATTTTATGCTTCTTATTCTTATTATGTTGCAAGCTGGGAAAATATTTTCTATGGGAGAGTACCGAGTACTCGATACATCTTTCACTAGATATGACAAAAAATAAGACATTTATTGTACCCTTATTATGTTTATTTCCTCCCATATATTTTTTTTCTCCTTTTTAGTAAGGTAGTACCTACTTTCGTTGCACGAAAAATGTGCTCCCAAACTGGGTGTGTGTTAAAACCTTATAGGAATACGAGAGAATAGAAAGTGTTTGTACTCTTGTACAACTTAATGAAGTATTGATGTGCTTTATTTTGCAGGAGAGAGCAATACTTGAAGAAGTTGAGCAAAACAAGGAAATAGTAAAGGAGTCTTGTGCAGACAACAGCAGAAGCATTGCAATAGTTGATGGAAGAGAAACAAAAGCCTTGGACATGTTTTGGTTCTTAAAACCTTGCACGCTGTAAGGCTGAATTCATTAAAATCTTGTGCAGACAACAGCAGAAGCATTGCAATAGTTGATGGAAGAGAAACAAAAGCCTTGGACATGTTTTGGTTCTTAAAACCTTGCACGCTGTAAGGCTGAATTCATTAAAATCTTGGGGGAAAGCACCATAAAATTCATTCTTTCATTTGTTTTCGTATTTCCTTGAAGTTCAAATAAAACAGAACTGTTTTATTTAGGTCGATAGCCATTCATTCTTCATTAATTGTCTTTTGTTCTCACATGTTATTCTTGTACCAATTCTTTGTCGTTGTAGCTATTCTTTTTAAATTGTCTCATGTATGCACATATTCTTGTACCATTGATATATAAGAATCTGAAACTGACGATTCAGTACACCCGTACTGAAACAGAGACTTGTTAATAAATTATCTTCTTTCTTTTGCGTATGACTTGCTTGAGGAATTAGTGCGTAGGTTTAAACATTTAATATCATTGTAGCCACTTTAACAATAACTTGTATGTTATGATCGAACAAGCCTAACTTCTTTTCTCAAGCGTCCTCAACTTGTTTTCTTTAATTTGCGAAGCAAATTATCATGAAAAAAATGTTTGTGATTTTAAATATGAAAGAGTCATGTTATTTTAAAAAAGAGATAGACACAGAATAAATTTGTTATTTAAATTTTAAATTAAAAAAAAATCATCCACTTACTCTCTCTCATAATTTTTATTTTCTGTGTCTATCTCTCTTTCATAAAATGACATAACTTATGTCATTTAAAATGACAAACACCATGACCAATTATCTTTGTCGGCTTTTTGAAAGTTTTAAGTCGCATTTAAAGCTTCTTCTTCGATTCTTGTACTTTCTTTTTTGCTATTTCAACTTCAACTTTGTCATCAAAATTCTCCAATAAATCTGTATAGGTTACGGGAAAAAGAAAAACAAGTTTTGAAAAGGAAACAGTAATAAATAGCTCACTGAATTCGAAGACAGAATATAGCATGTAGGAAACGATTTCAAATTCAAATTCGAAACCAAAAATAAATGGGATACAGTCAAACAGACATATTTTCAAGAAGAGGTAATGAAAAAAAAAAAAAAAAAAAAAACTCCCTCCTTTGCATTAGGTAAAAGATATTAATATTTATTAAAAAAATTAGAAAAGCTATTATAAATGAAAAGTAAAAACTTTTGATAAAAAAAAACTTTATCATAAGAGAGTGAAATCAATATCCATCAAGCTCATGAATTAAGAGAGTAAAATCAATATTATCAAGCGCATGAATCAATAGGTAGGACTTAATTTTGCCTCTCTTAAAAACAAGAAATTTTTTGCCAGAAATAAAAATAAAAACGAAATGAATAAAAACTTTAAAATTTGTTGTGGTAAATTATAGATAGTTTAGGCATAATATAAAAAATAAGTATTTTTATTCTGTCATGTTAAAAGAATGTGATATTATCGTGAAAAATCATAATAATATAAAAGTGGAACAATAGTGATAAAAAAAAAAAATATTGAAATAATAATTATAAAATCATAATTCATCTAATTGTGATTTTTTCACATGTTTTTTTTTTTTTTTTTTTTAACATCACAGGATCATTTCCAAAAAAAGTAAACATACTGGACAACAAAATGAAGTAAAAAAACTACGCAAATTCCCCGCTCCCCTCGTTTGAAATCATCCTTTTTCTAATTTTCCCTCACTTTCCCGGGAAAATGCCCAGGAGACGCAGGGCTCCAGTTCCAGACGTACTATGGCGCCTATTCCGCGATCGAGCACGAACTCTATCAGACACCATCGTATCGTTGCTCCCTCCTCCGCCTCCGTCGCCGGACCTTTGCCGCTGCAAGGGGCGCAGTTGCCTTGGCTGCAGTCACGACTCCAGGTCTTTCCTCCTCAGACCAGATGACCCCTCCGATTATCGAAAACTCCTCGCAAAGTGCTTCGTCGTCGTTTCCGAAAACGCCCCTTCAATTCCGTTTTTCATCCCCCACTCCAACTCGCCCCAAGATCAGGTCTTGTTAAAAAGAAGTGCTTTTTCCCCCTCTAAGAATCAGCGTTTGGATTGATAAACTTTTTACGTTTTAAAAGTGATTGTGGAAATTGAAAAGGCTTTCAGAAATTGGATTAGAGGTTCCTTTAGGATAAGCGCTTTATTTATTTGTATTTTTAGCTTTTATGAAATGCAAATGATACTTTTGCTTTAGACGTAAGTCCTTTTCAGCTTAAGGAATGCATTAATTTTATTTATTTGTTTATTTATTTATTTTTGACGTTAAGAAGTGTTTTAGATTCATTGGTTGTGAAAATATGTGCAGTGTTTATTTTTCTTTTGTATTGGGGGTTGCGTTTTTTTTTATTGGGGTCTGGAGATAATGCTTTAGGAATTGCTGATTTTGAATTTCAGATTGTTAAGAGGACCATTGAACTGATGTTATATCGAAGGGAACCAGCCTATTCAAATGTGTTGTGCTCTGGTTATGATAGGGTAAGCTTCTTCTTTTCTTTTATTCTTTAATGCTGTACAACTTTTTAGTTCGAAGTTGGTTTCAATTGCTGTTTTCCATCATAAAAGTATTCTTAAAGTTGGATCAGATATTCAAAGGTGTTATAATGCAGTGGCACTCTTTAGGTGCTACCTAGAGTACTTTGTTTTATTCGTTGCTAAGCTGTTGATCCTGAAACTTCAACTGTGGTTATGAACTGCGAGATATTACATGTTGTAAGACTGCATACTTTTGGATGCTTTTTTTTTTCCTTCCTTGGGTGTTGAAATTATAGAGATTTAAGACTGAATTATATGAAATTGATATTGATTTGATGTGTTATGATCTTGATATAGTCTTTAAAGCACTAAACTCTTTATACAACTAATAGGCTCAAAATCCTAGTTAAATAAAGAAATAAATCATGAAATATAAAGAAGGAAGGAAACTATTCCTTAGAGATTATATAATATACTCTAAACTATTCAAAGATACAGTCAAGTTATTCTGATATATTTTACATACATTCTAGTACCCCTTAAGCTAAAGTTTATTAAGCTTTAAGTTTGTTATAAATGCCCCCTTTTAAAATAAAAAAATAACCAAATAATATAATCTGGACTCAAAAAACGTAGTTAGAAAGGCAACACAGGATGCAACCAGTTTGCGGTCTAGGCATCAATGGTTGGTTCCAACAAGTTGTGCTGTGGAAGATAGATGGGCTATCTCATTCACACCTATAAGCTTGAAATCCAGCAATGAAGGTTGGTTGCATAACCGTGCAATGAAGGCTGTTATGGTTCACCAATGAAGGGTGGATGCAAGCGATGAAGGCACCTAGGGTCTAGCAATGAATGCTAGTGGATTAGCAATGAGGGTTGAAGGTGGGAAGGTGATGTGTGGCTTACATGCACTGATTAGAACTCGAACAGTGAGACATGGAAGACATTTTTTTTTTGCTACGGGGATTTTGGAGGAGGCGCAGTAGGACTAGCTTGTTAGTGTTATAGCACAGTGAAGAGAAAAGGACAGTTGTGCAATGGACATGATGGGTTTCGAAATATTTTCCGCTGGGCAGGGGTTCTATTGTGTTTAATGCTTGTGGAGAGAAATGAGAAGAAAAGAATAATGGAGATAATGATACTGTTACAATTGAGGTTTTGATTTTAGAAAACTCTATAGTGGATAAAGACTGTTGTTGTAAATAGTGTCATAGAAGTCCCACGTTGTGTATATGTCTTTATATGTCTTATTTGGTTTAATATATAAATGAAATCTCCTTCGTGTAGTTGACATAAGGATCACAATGAATACCTCTTGTCTCTTGGTAATTAACATGGTATCTAGAGCCTAACAAGAGAAATCCTAATCTGCGTTTTTTTCCGGTGGACCATTGTCCGCTGAGTAAAATTTTTTTTTTTTTCCAGAAACAGTCATATCTGTCAGTTTCCGGCTTTCATATATCGTCTACGGACCTGTCTGATCACTGCCGCCATTAGGAACCACTGTCCGCCGCCGTTGACCGCCGTCTCCGACGACTTTTCCGGCGAAACACCTATCGATCTGATCGCCACGAGAAGGCGGTCCTTTCTGTCCAGGACCCAATCTCAGCTCCTCAGCCACGCGCTCTCACGCGTGTCAAACAGCGGCTGCAACCCGTTTTGTTGCAACGGCGCGTGGAGGCACGTCCCGCTCCGGTTGGCCGTCGGACCACCACGGTTCCCTTCGTCTTCTCCTTGCGCACCTGGATCTGTCCTCACTTTGTGGTTTTGACTTCGTTCCGGTTTCGCACGGCGTCTTTTCCCTTGTTGGTTACTATTCACGCGTGTTTCTTTGCTTTCCATTACTGTTCATCTTTGTTTCAGGTGACCTATGGCTGATTCATCACCCCACGATGTATCCAAGGGTTCTTAAAAGAATGACACGCCTGTTTTTACTAATTATGTTAATGTTCCGCTGCACGTTGACAGGTTGGATGGCTCCAATTATGATTCTTGGGCTTCTGATCTCCGACTTTGGCTTGATGGACTGGATTACACTGACCATCTCATTACTAAGGCTGAGTCCATCTCGGTAGATGTACGCCCTCATTGGAAAAAGGTTGATGCTCAGTTATGTAGCATCATCAAGTCTACCATCCACTTGTCCTTGAAGCAGATTTTCCGTGCTCACGTCACTTGTGAGTCTGTTTGGCGTCAGGCCAAGTCACTTTATACCAATGACACTCAGCGACTCTATGGTGTTTGTCAAAATTTAAGTTATCATCGTCTTTCACCATCCCATTTTGCTTGCCTCTCTTCTCTTTCTTCTGTATCTGTTCCTAAGACTACAGGTGAGGCATTATCACATTTTGGATGGCGACATGCCATGATTGATGAGATGAGTGCACTTCAGAGCAGTGGTACCTGGGATCTGGTTCCCCTTCCCTCTGGGAAGTCTGTTGTTGGCTGTCGATGGATATACACGGTCAAAGTTGGTCCTGATGGTCAGGTGGACCGTCTCAAGGCCCGATTGGTGGCTAAAGGTTATACTCAGGTATTTGGCCTCGACTATGGAGACACGTTTTCTCCCATGGCGAAAATGACTTCTGTTCGCCTCTTTGTTACTATGGCAGCCATTCATCACTGGCCTATGTATCAACTGGACATCAAGAATGCTTTCCTCTATGGTTATTGTTGGGTGGTTTGCAGATGGTGGAAAAATATAAGTTCTGATAGGGGACGTTCCTCTGTTCTTGCAGAACACAGATTCGTCCCTTAGTTCCAACGCAAGTGTACGCATCAAGTAATAAAGGGAGTATTAATGCCCAAATTATCGTTCCCACGAGGATAGAGTGCTAATTATAGTTTTATCACTGTTTATAAAGAATGAAAATGAGAAGAAAAGTTAGTAAATGAACTGTCTGGTCAAACGTTCCCTACTGTCTTGACAACGTTCCTCAGGAACAGTAGGTTCAATCTGATGGCAAACAGTTGCTCGCTGCGTTATGTATGTGATCCTTCCTGTTTAGAAGAAGGTGAGATAATAATCATTGGAGTTTTTATAAGTACTAAATAAAATAAAATAAAAACTGCTAAAACAGAAATAACTATAATCAAGAGACAACAGGGTGGTGGTTAAGACAGTTTAACAGAAGGAACGGATTCACTGCTTCACTCTTAAAGGGGCTGTTTTCTCTGCTCAAGACTTAGTACCTTTTGGCTTTGTCCCAGTTTCTTTGCCTGCCAACTCTGATTCCTCAGCTTATGGTCTAGATGGCTCACAAGTTTCCATATTCCTATGGCTCCCTTGACTCCAACAGGTACTTAGTTCAGAACCTTAAAATGGACGAGTTGACCCCTTATTCCTAAGGTGACCAGTAGCGTTTTTGCCATGACATCTACCTTCCCCCAATGGCTAAGCTGTCTGAAATCCCTTCCTTATGGAAGTTCCTTTCTCAGTATGTACCCAATTTCCATTGGCGCACAATGAATATAGCTTACTTAGCCAAAGAAATACAAAAAACTTCGGTCAAGAGTTTTGAAAACAGTTCTTTAAGAGTTTCACAGTTTACCCGTTCCACAGATAGTTCAGCTCATGGCTGATAGTTTAAACATAATTATTCTCAACTGAGATCACATAGACCCGAGATTCAGTCAAGAGATAACAATTGGAACGAAGAGAAAAACACTTATATTAATTTAAAAGACAGTTTACAAAAAGAAACAGAAGATGGAGAAAGATGGGTATTTGCTCGTGAGGAGTCTTGATGGTTGTTTACAGAGAAGAGAAGAGGGGTTGTCACTTAACTACAGTTACAACTTAAAATTAAACTAAGTTACTAACTACTACTAAGTGATCTCTTCCTTTCGGACTGCAAACCCTCCAGGATTCGATGATGTTTTTGTGTGAGGGTGGTCCTATTTATAGCTGGAAGAGGAGTGGCAAGACTGTAATTCCTTTGGAGCTAGTTGCTTGAATGAGGGGACGGGACTGTGGCAGCAGAGTGTGAAGCTTGCGTGAATTGCTGGATGGAACAGGATTTTGTGATGATTAGCCGTTGTTTGCAGACCTTCCCATGCTTTGCTTTTGTTTTCAGCCAATGAGAACTCTTGATTCTCTGCTCTTCACGTTTCCAGCTGCTCTGTTGGTGCATCGCCTTGCTTTTTAGAAGTCTTTAACTCTACGTTACCTGCAAAGTGTACAAAAGCATTAAATGAATGGAGCAGGTGCATTAAATGCGTTTCAGTCCGTTCCCCTTTTAATATATTTTAAAGGAATACGTTACCATACGTTACCATCCGTTCTCCCACTGTGTTTTTGTCACAAATATGTAAAACAAGTGATTTTCATGCTGAAGTTGCTCATCAGATGAGGGAACGTATGGTATTTTGTCATCAAAATGGACTTAGATGGGAACGAATTTACGTCCCATCAGTGATCTACGGGAAGAGGTTTATATGGAGCAACCTCCTGGGTTTGTTGCTCAAGGGGAGTCTAACCTAGTTTGCGTCTCCGCAAATCCTTGTATGGTCTCAAGCAGTTTCTCTGGGCTTGGTTTGGAAGGTTTAGCACTGTTGTACAGCAGTTTGGCATGACTCGGAGTGAGGCTGATCACTCAGTCTTTTATAGACACTCTGATTCAGGTTCTATTTATTTGGTGGTATATGTTGATGATATTGTCATTACAGGTACTGATAATCATGGCATAACTCAGATAAAACAATATCTCTGCCATCATTTTCAAACAAAGGACCTTGGAAGACTCTGATACTTCTTAGGGATAGAAGTGGCTCAATCAAAAGATGGCATTGTACTGTCACAGAGAAAATATGCTATGGATATTCTTGAGGAGACAACTCTGTTGAATGCTAAGCCCGTTGATACTCCTATGGATCCAAATGTCAAGCTTTTGCGAAATCAGGGGGAGCTATTTTCAGATCCAGAAAGGTATAGAAGATTGGTTGGGAAACTGAACTATCTCACAGTTACTCGACCAGACATTTCCTTTGCAGTCAGTGTAGTAAGTCAGTTCTTGAATTCTCCTTGTGAAGATCACTGGAATGCAGTAATCCGTATCCTCAAGTACATCAAGACTGCTCCTGGAAAAGGTCTTCTCTATTAAAACAAAGGTCATACCAGAGTTATAGGATACTCAGATGCTGATTGGGCAGGTTCTCCCATTGATAGAAGATCCACCTCTAGGTATTGTGTATTCGTTGGAGATAACTTGATTTCCTAGAGAAGTAAGAAACAAAGTGTAGTTGCTAGATCAAGTGCTGAAGCAGAATATCGCTCCATGGCCACAGCCACCTGTGAACTCATCTGGTTAAAACAACTACTGAAAGAACTCAAGTTTGGAGACACTGGCCCTGTATCTCTCATTTGTGATAATCAAGCTGCTTTGCATATTGCTTCAAATTCAGTGTTTCATGAAAGGACTAAGCACATTGAGATAGATTGTCATTTCCTTAGAGAAAAGGTTCTCTCAGGAGATATAGTTACTCGTTTTGTCAACTCAAATGATCAATTAGCTGATGTACTCACTAAGTCTTTGAGAGTGTAACGCCCGACCACTTGCAAGAATCAATGACTGTCCCCACATACTAACACGAGACTTTTCAGTGTGCTTTGTCCTCACTCGCACACTTCCCGGGAAAACTTCCCAGGAGGTCACCCATCCCAGAATTGCTCCAAGTCAAGCACGCTTAACTGTGGAGTTCTTCCGATCCGGGCTACCAAAAAGTAGATGCATCTTGTTAGTATAGGTAGTACCAATTAATTCTTATAAGCCATTCCCAACTATACCGTCCCATACCAGCACAGTCTCTGGAATCCCTCTCTTTCGGGTGTGGATTCGATTCATTCATGTACCCCCGTCCCTAGAAGCCTGCCAGGAGCCGCTCCTTGTCCATGCCCTTTCGCACCGGCGATCACTCCCCGCCCTCGTCAGCGCCCGGGATGTTACATGCCCACCAGCTTCCGCCTGGTTCGTCCTCGAACCACACCGTAATGGAATTTGTTGAATGCAATTTGTTGATTGCATTACCCTTGTATAGGTTTAGGTTTGTAAAAGTTGATTGCTGAAACTGTTGGTGAAGAACAAAGGTCGACTGAAGCATTGAGGTAAGCCTTCGGACCTTGGGTGTAATTCCCTTGACTGTTCTACCAAGCCCTGAAAGGGTAGAGGTTGTGGTTGTGTATATAAATGCAATAAAATAGTGTGATGCTTTGTTATACGTATGTGTATGCATTTGGTGTGGCATAGGATGGTGTTTCCCTATGTTGGTATGTTGCATGACGATGCGTAAATCATACTTGGTAGTTAGCTGGCCAGTAGGACTATTTGCATCTGAGTTTCCTTAGGACAGCTTGAGAGCTCGAGGGATTTCTCCTGGAGATGTATTGCACTTTGCATAGATATGTATTTACTGCATTATTATTGTTATTGCTATTACACTGATATGGAACTGTGGGGTGGAGAGATGCTCCAAGGACCCCTGGTTTACTGGATATATTCGTATATCTCACCCCGTGTTGTGGGGACCTGTAATCATGTAACATCCCGGGCGCTGACGAGGGCGGGGAGTGATCGCCGGTGCGAAAGGGCATGGACAAGGAGCGGCTCCTGGCAGGCTTCTAGGGACGGGGGTACATGAATGAATCGAATCCACACCCGAAAGAGAGGGATTCCAGAGACTGTGCTGGTATGGGACGGTATAGTTGGGAATGGCTTATAAGAATTAATTGGTACTACCTATACTTACAAGATGCATCTACTTTTTGGTAGCCCGGATCGGAAGAACTCCACAGTTAAGCGTGCTTGACTTGGAGCAATTCTGGGATGGGTGACCTCCTGGGAAGTTTTCCCGGGAAGTGTGCGAGTGAGGACAAAGCACACTGAAAAGTCTCGTGTTAGTGTGTGGGGACAGTCATTGATTCTTGCAAGTGGCCGGGCGTTACAGAGAGGACCTAGGATAGATCAAATATGTAACAAACTTGGTGCATACGATCTATATGCTCCAGCTTGAGAGGGAGTGTTGTTGTAATTAGTGTCATAGAAGTCCCACATTGTGTATATGTCTTATTTGGTTTAATATATACATGAAATCTCCTTCGTGTAGTTGACATAAGGATTACAATGAATACCTCTTGTCTCTTGGTAATTAACAAAGACTAAACAAAATGGAATTGGTATTGATTTGATATGTTATGAGGTGATGTAAGTGACAAAGTACTAATCCCTATTTATACTAATATTAGACAAAAGCATGTATTTTATGCATCGTAGTATGTCTAGATCCATGTGTGCATGTCTTGCATTTGTTTATTTTGGTGATTTTGTTCATATGCAGAGTAAATGTTCAAGCCCTATTGTGGAGCTTTTATGTTGTGCATCTTGGTGTCTTCTATTAAGTAGGGTATGTGATGGTATCAATATTTTTTTAATAATGTTTATTCATATGAAGCTAGTTATTTTATTCGTTTTTCTTTTTCTTATCATAATTAGGTAACAAGTTGCATCTGTGCAGGTTGGAGATGATTTTATGGTTTACCTACTGAGGTTTACATCAATATTCTTGCCAGCTCCCCATGGAAAACACCACCAGGTGGGAGGTCCTCCAATCAGTCGTCTATGCTTTGATATGTTGAAGTGTTCATCAAAGTTTGAGCATCCTTCACTTTATAAATGTGGTAATGTGATCTCAGTAAACATATAAACTGTAACAGTATGAACTCTCTCTGCAGATGCCTTTTGTTATTGCTGTATGCGTCTTGAATGTTTGATTTGAATCCATCTTGTATCTGAAAGATTGTAATGTTTTGTTATTCATTTAGACTTCTAATCGTATGTTCAATTTGCTATAATACAAATAAATAATACAATCGCCAATTAAAATCACATGTGTAGTCATATAAATTCTTAGAAGATTTAATGCACGTTGCAACATCTGAGAGATGAAGAACTGTTGCCATATCTGCTTAAATCAATAACTGGATAAACTCGTGAATAGGGGTGCCTTCTATTATAACTTTTACGTTCTGTCTTGAATCAATTTCTTCTTTGTCTTCCCTCTAGTTAGTTTTTCTGATCAATGTTATGGCTATCTTGGTCTTCTTTCCTGACAAATTATTTGTGTCGTTAGTGTTTTTGCCTCTTGGTTATTAGTAAGATATTGCGAAGATGGGTTCTATTTGCAACAGGAGCACAAAAGAGAAAAAGAGCTGATGTTGATGACTTAACAGTAGAGAATCAAAAGTGCCATATTTCTTCCAGTACCAACGGTCCTGTTGGCTTTGCAAGTGATCTTGACTTATCTGTTGAGTCTTCAATGCAACTGATCAGGCATCATGGGAGCAGGAAGCATGATGTCAGTGTGTCTGAAGTTCCTAAGTCAACAAGAAATGGTCGTGTTATAAGGAAGTCTGAGTCTGAAGGGAAACAAGGCTTGAATTGTATTACACCTAGGCTTGGAAAGCGTTCTAGGCCATTTAGTTGGCAGCGGCGTAGATGCAAAAAGCAGAAGCAATTAACCTTTGAAGAAAACGGTCTAAATACGCATTGCAATTTGCTTCCCACTAATACAGATAGCTTGCATGCTAGTTTACAGTGTGACAACAACAGATTAAGCTATCATAAAAAGGTGATCAATTGTTTCTATGAAATATTGTAGAATGCCATTACAAACTTTTGTCTTGAAATTTTTGTAGCTATTAAATTCTTTTCTTATCAGACTTTTTTTAGCTATCGTTAATTCTAAATTGTAGTTAGGTTTAGTGTGATAGCCTTTATACTGATTGATAGTTGTGATTTGTGAAGGAAATTGTTAAGCTGTTTTACTTTCTTTTAGTGCACTGTGGAATGATATTAATTACTGATTCTTTGTTACTGTACAACATTTTCAAATTACAGCAAAGTGATATATGGTAGAAAGATACAGCCATTTAAGCCTCTAGAGACATCTGGCTGTAACTTTGTATTGTAGGATATACCATGTCATCTATTTCCATTATATTTGATCACTTTTTTTTATCCTTTTTACTTATGGTCTTCATCGTTAATGGAATCACGTAATATTGATATGAAATGTTAGAATAATTCAGATTGTTTGCTTCCAATTACCATTTGCAATAAATCTCAAGAGCCAGAATTTGGCAGGTACGTAGCAATATGTACTGTGGGTGAAGCAAGATGCTCTAAGTAACATGATAGTGACGGAGATATACATGCAATAAATGCCTAAAAACTGAACATAATATATGATTGGCACAAACAGGTGCTACTTTTTCTTCTTTTTTTAATGATAGGAAAATTGTCAAGATAGAAAGGAATACTAAACTGGAGCATAATGATCTTCCTAAAGTTACGAAGTGTTGAGATATATAAAATCATTAATGTAGCCTCACCCAATAGCTGAAGCTTTTGGGTTGAATTGATTCTTTACACGAAGTAACATCAGAAAAGGGAAAAAGGAAAATGCATCAGCTCAAAAGATCTAATCAGTCCTTTTGCAAGCATGTCCTAGAAACACCCTTTAAAATCCCATGAGCAGAAATTCACAAAGAAGAAAGGAAAACTAGCCTCTCTTATAAAAGCTGTTGATAGAGATAATTATTGTTGAAGATTCTATTTACTCTGCAGTAAAGGGAAATTAAGGTGTACAAGGCTCCCTAACTTTGCGAGGTTATGGGTGAAGGTCGAATGTACACCATCTTACTATTGCATTTTCTTACAAAGAGGTTGTTTCCTAAACTCAAACCTATAACCTTCTCATCACAAAGTAGCAGCCTTATCGCAGTTCCAAGGCATTCCCTCTTCTAGTTACTCTTCAGTAAAAAAAAAAAAATATGAAATATTTATAAGTTTCATATTATATTTATGAAATGTGTTTATGATAAGGGGGAGGAAGTAGTTGGATGTTGATGATAGGTTACATTAGCCAAGAATATTAATGCTGAAATAGCATTTCAATCTTCATTAACAGTAGTTGATACTTTGTAATTTCAATTAGATCTTGTCCTATTATCACATCCACTTTATATGTTGTTTAGCTGCAGATGTTGAGGCAATGTTCTTGCTGTCTAGTCTTGCCATCTCTCACAGCTGTTCCTAAGAGGACTGATATCAAAAGGCAATCCATCTTTTATAACCTGGAGTCTTCATTCTCAGTTCTTCCGAAGAAACGTATCCACCAATGAGTTTTGAATCTGACATGATGTACATGACTCTTCTTGAAATGAGATATTTTTTTTTGTTCCCATCTTTGACACTTTCTATGGAAAGACTCTTTACGTATACAAGTATAAGATTCTCTGAGTTACTAAGATGCATTATTTTGCCTCAGTGTTATTATGTCTTAGGGGCCCGTTGCTCCTTGTGCTAAGTTAAAGAGAGCATACATTAAATACCAAAAGAAAAGAGAGTATACATTTCCTTCACAAATTAACTTCAGATATTTTGTATTCCTTAAGGCCAAATTTGGCTTGTTCGAAGAATCTCATTGGTAATATTTTTGGTTTCTCATATGTAAATGCTAATGCTCAACCAATGCCTTGTTTCCACAGCAGTGGTTTGTGTCTCATTGACTCTGCATGCCTGTAAGTTCAGGCAGGCCCTTATGATTACAGTGCATTCTTTAATATAAATGTTATGACACTTTTAAGTTAGTTATTGATAAGGTCACCAGTTCGTATCCTGTATTTTGTGCTCTGAATGTATGTGAAGTTTATTTTTTTCTGCTGCCCAATTATCTTTCCGCTTTGGAGTTTATTTCATGATGCTGAAGGATTGGATTCACAACCTTCATACAGTTGTTTTAGAAGATGCCTTTTAGGGGGTGTTTGGTAGGAGGGGAAATTTTTTTTTCCTAGGAAAGTGGGGTGGGGAAAATCATTTGCCCATGTTTGGTAGGAGGAAGAATAAAAATAAGGCTGGGAAATTTTTTGTCCCATCATTTGCTTTTCCACATAGAATTGTTATCGAAGATTGCCATCAATGGGATGGAATTTTTTTTTCCCCATGCGGTGGGAAAGCCATCACATAGCATCGGTAAAATTAATCTAACATTCTCGAAAAAAATTTGGCCTATCAAATATCTTTTAGTAACTTACCCGAGAAAAAATTCTCAAATTTTTTTTTTTCCGGTAAAATCTTTTTTTTCCTCTACCAAACGCCCCCTTAAGATTGTGTTAAAGAGGTCTTAGAATGTGAGTTAATAGGACAGGAGTTGCTGGATGTTGAAAATTCATTGGCTTGAAGTTCTAGGTTGCAGTTAAATGAGGTTTTAGAGGGTTCCTTGATTGCTGCCTACTGTAACTTTTGAATGTTACCCAGGCCAGGTAGGAAATGAAAAAAAGAGAAAGATTATTACATGAATATGCCTTTAGAACACTTGTAAATTTTGATAATCAATTCCCAATATGGTTCCTTGTACATAAATGAAATGTGTATATACTTGACGTAGAAGGGGCAGGAGAAATTAAGAAAAAATCTTAAAATCTTTTAAATTCTTATTAATTGAATTTAATGATAAAGCTTGATTCCCGAAGACAGGTAACAAGCCTTTTATACGCGTCAGTGTTCTCAAATTCAATGATGAAGCTCCTATTTCTTTTAAGTTTTAATAATTGTAATGCTTTTGCAGGTATCACTCCCTTGTTAAGTGGTTTAAGCATCTCATTCGTAGGACACAGTGTTGCCAGCATAGAAAGCTCTTGGATAAGCATTGTGTTGTTCCATCATTGGATCAACATACATTTGGAAGATCTAGTACCAGACTTGAGGTTTTTTTTTTCTTTCTTTTTTCCCCCCCTTTAGAATATTAAATTTTTACTATATACGATTGGTTCAAGAAGTTTCCACTATGTTGGTGAGGTTATAAAAGATATCCCTAGAATTCTTTCATTTAATGTACATAGGAACTTATTTTGTTCAAGTTGATATTGGACACATACATAGTTTGAAGCACTTTTTAGCTTTTGCCTAGTAAACGCAGTTACTTTTTCATCTTACTATGACATATGTGGTACTTTTCACAATAAATTTTTACAACAGGAGAATGTATCAGGGACAAATGTACACAAGAAATCGCAGGATTTTGGTACTGAACATTGTGCAGATGTTGTGGAAGAAATACATTTACAGTGTGAGGCAGTTAAGTCGTACTGCTCAAAAAGTCAAGTTGTATCTTTCATATGGGCTGTTTCTAGGAGTTTACTTCCTTCCGAATTATTAGGTACTCCTTCTAATTGGAGAATAATGAAAAGAAATATTTCCAAGTTCATACACTTACGGAGATATGAGAAGTTCCCTTTAAAGCTATGTATGCATGAACTAAAAACATCAAGGTTTCCATTCCTATCAAATAAATATTTCTTCAATAGTCAAAATGCTTGGGTTCTAAAGTATATAAAAGGACATAACAAAGTCCTTAACGAAGAATTTGGAAGTTGGAACAATGCTGTACCTGGTGTCAAACGTAAGCTTTTGGAGAAGTGGATCTTCTGGTACTTCTCTTGTCTGGTTGTACCTTTGGTGCAAGCAAACTTCTATGTTACTGAAAGTGAGCAAGGGAAACAAGATATGTACTATTACAAGAAACCAGTTTGGGAGAAGTTGACTAATAGCACTATTGCTTGCTTCAAAGACTGGAGATACAATTACCTGAATGATGTGGCTGTACATAATATTCTTAGAGGTAGACCATTTGGGTTTTCAAAGCTCAGACTTCAACCAAAAGAAAATGGAGTAAGGATGGTGGCAAATCTGAAAGGTTCTTCAAGAATGCCATTGCCTGTGTCCACTATGGGAGTTCAATATTGCAAAACAGAGAGGAAAGCAAAACACCAGAAAATCAAGTTTGAACATTATCAGTCTGTGAATTCTGCTCTTCGTGATGCCCATACTATTCTAAAAGGAATTCAGTTCAAGAAGCCTGAGAAGCTGGGTTCTTCAGTGTTTGACTACAATGATATTTACAAAAAACTATGCCCATTTTTGGTTGGCCAAAAGAAGGGATTGGCATCTTTGCCCAGTTTATTCATTGTCACGTCTGATGTGTTGAAAGCTTTTGATTCTGTTGATCAGGACAAGCTGCTTGGCATTATGAAAAATGTTCTATTGAAAGATGAATATTTTCTTAAACAGTATGATCAAGTTGTTTGTACAAAGAGATCTTTGTGGGTTCAAAAGCAATTTACAATGCTGGATGAAACTAGTAACACTGGCCCTCAAAGATTTACTTCATATGCTTCCTTTCGTTCCCAGCATGCTGTCTATGTTAACCAGGTATGACTTTTCAATTTTTCTAATAAGCATAGGAGAAAGTCTTGTGTTTGTGTGTATCTCCACATTCCGTCATCATCTGTTCTGTTTCTCTGTGTCTTTGATGGAACTGATTTGTATTAATATTTAGGACACTGGAGCACAGCTCCTTACACGATTCAGAGACTGTAATTAATGAAAAGGTAATGACGCAAACAAGAAAATTACAGACACCATGACGTAACTCCCAGAGGCTATTCCCCAAAATAACAACTTACTCACAATCAACATGAATCCCCTCCTCACACCCCCATACACAATATAAGTACTCATTTACCACTCCCAACCGTAAGGCCTTCCCTTTTCTCTCTCTTCTAACTAACTCCCTTCATCCCCACCTTTCATTTCTGAACACCCTTGCTCCCCAGGATGTCCGTCTGGACTCCCTTGTATAATTGGCCTAGGATTCCCTTGCATAACTGGGCCTGAGTTCCTTTGCCTTGCTGTTGCTGACCGAACCTCTTTACACCTCTTTCTCTCCCTTTTTCATTCATAGATCTGTTTTAGGGGCTCACCAGTCTTGTAATAAGTTTACCAATTCAAATTTGAATGTCTTGTATTGTCAATTATGATATTTCTTTTCCTCCTCTATATTGTATACTCTGTTTGTAATTTAAGTGTGTATTGACATGGATCTTAATTGGAAATTTTCATTTCCTCCTATATCATTTGTTCATCCAGACTTCAGCTGACAAAAACACCAAAATTATACTGGAATCCCACAAATGATGCTGTAATCCATGATTGCTGGTCACCTTCAAGAACTACCAAATTCTCCATTTCTTCCTCCGACATGAGATGTAGATGGTTGGACCAATCTGATAGGAACTAAGGGAAACTGAGTGTGAAAAGATGCAAAGAGAGGACATAGAGAAAGTACTTATTTTTTCTGTGTCGTGAATGAAGGAGAGTGATCTCCTCCTAGGGAAGTTCCCTTTTTCAACCGAGCAATGTGCTCGGTCACAATATGTTAAAAAAGATGCCCATCCTATACATTTTCTGCTATTTATCCACCTAACTACCAAATTGCCATCCAAATTAACTAACTGTCCTCCTAACTAACCTGATGGCTTCTCTTAATTCTGTGTAGTATACAACTCTTGCCCCAACCCTTTTGAGTTTCATCCCTCATAGATGGGGCCTCCTTTTTGCCTTGAAAATTTGTTGGCTGATACTTCAATTGATACTAACTCTTCATTGACATTGATAATTTCTATGAACTCTCCCTACTTACATTGGTTCCTAGCTTTTCCATTTATGTAAGTTTGTGCATGAGAGTTTTTTTTCCCAGTTCTCCTTAATTAATTGAGTACATTATTGGTTCCTTTTTTGGTATATTGGGAGTCATGTTCTTTGAAACTTAAGGGTCTAGAAAAGGGAAAGGAGAGAATGCTGCTAATTAGGTTAGTGCTAGTAGTACTCGTATATACCCCAGTCCAATGCTAAGAATACTAATAACTCTATTATTTTCTACCCCTCCCCGTCAAACTTAAGCTTGCTCAGTTTAAGCTTGTTACAAGTAGTAAAACATATACAATAAACAAAGAACTGGATTTCAGAATTAACAAAAGTGGGCACTAAACACTCTTTTTGGCCCAGCGAACTGGATTTTTTGATATATTGTAGGAAAGAAAGACAGAAACGAAGTACAAATGTGACTAAGTACAAACAGAAAGGAAATGAACAATAGCAATAGCTCAACTGTTGTGACCCAGTCTCTTGGGCTAGCCAACCAGTCTCTTGGGCTAAGCAATGACAGGCCCATACGTCTTAGAAAGCAGCCTGTTTATTTACAGGACTATTTCCAATAACTAAATAAACAATTACTCTATTATTTTATTTAGTAGAGAAGATGTTTGTTACGAGTTTGTTACCGAGGAAAGGGGAACATTGTAACACAGGTGTATAAGTAGCCCATGAGGGGCGTGAATGAAAATTATGAAAAGTTGGACAATCTCTCTCTTTAACTCTTTCTTCTCTCATCATCATCTTCTTGTTCTTCTGTGAAACTTCTTATAATATTCTGTACAAAAATCCCTACATCAACTATTCCAATTACAGAGACCCTGTTAACTAACACCCAAAGAGACTGGTTCAGTACTTTTGAGAGGTACTGAGCTCTCCCAAACTCTGTTCCAATTCCAGCTTATCCTTCCTCCATGCTTCTCCCATCTCTTAACCCTATTCAACTGATTCTTTCAACCACCTCCCCACCAGGTTCTCTCTATCCTCTAGCAGAATTCCCATCCAACAATTCCTTATCTAGAATATTCCTTCCCAATGCTGAGTCATCCATCCTTTTTGGTTCTTCAACACTTCCTATAATACACCCTTAACGGAATTGTATCAGAACACCAGTCCATCAAAACACAAAACTTAGGCAAGTAGTACACCCCTTGAATTCTTGGCAACATTAGTTGTAGATAGGTCACTCTGAGTCAGGTACCATACCACCCAGTAATGACCTCTAACTGGGGTCTAGAAAACATTGAGTCGAGTATGATAACATCCACTAACACAGATGGGGATCCTTTACTAGTTTCCAAAGTCTTTAATCGACAAATCTTGACAGCAAAAGAAAGAAACTACAAACAATAATCTCCTAATGACACAAAACACAAAGTTACTCCCACACAACACCTTAGTCTGAAGCCAAACAGGCCATGTTTGCTAAACCAAAATAAAAAAGATGCTGTATTGCTCCACTTCAAGACATTGGCAACCACCCTGAGTCACTTGGAGAAAAAACGAAATGACACCTCATATTTGGATATTGAAACAAAAAAGCAGTGAAAAACACCACTGCCACTAACCAAATGCTGCCAAACACCATCCATAGTAACTCCTCATGTCTTGTTGCTCTGCTTGTACCAAAATTTCGCACCACTGGCCAACCAAATGTGCTTTCCTAAAAGTCTCAATTGTAGACAGCCCAAAGTCTCACTCAGCAGGAATAATACACATTGTTACCTATTGTCTTGTATTTCTAGAATTATTGTGGTGGCATCTCAAGCATTTTCTTCATATATCTAGGGTGGCTAGTTTGAGGTGGATCTGGAACTCTGGTCCTAGTTTAGCGGAACTTGATCACATAATGCTAAGAAGTATGTTTATTTAAATAAAGAGAGAAGTTTATAAACCCAATGTGATTTACTCTTTTATCACTTATATAACACCTCACATTTCTAAATCATAAATTAATATATTAAATGAGAATTAAAGGGAAGGATTAGTGAAAATCCTGAAAATTAGACCTAAATACAAAGAAAGGGCAAAACGGTAAATTAACCATGCACACAACCCTAAGAAGGAAATTGAATAGAAGGTCTCAGATGATAAAAATAACCCTGGAAATGGATTTAGAACGAAAAATTGAGTGGATAGGCAAGTTTCAGAAAATTCAGTGAATAGTGTTTTTACCGGGTAAAAATACTGCGGTACGATTGCACCGTAAAACGTGCCGATTGAGTTTTGAGCTCTAGATTTTAAATACAAGTTATAAATGGTATATAGGACTAGGAAATATGATTTCTTATGAAAATTGATGGAAATTAGTAAATTTGGGGAAGCGTGCCTACGGCGCGCGCAACAGTTTAAAACAACATTTTCTCCGAACGACCGGAAAACTTCGGATTCATCTGATCAAGGGTAATTAAAGGACAATGGTTAATGTTAAAAATTAGAGTTTCTAAATAGGTTGTGAATTTATGGATGTTTAGTGGAATCAGAGGAAAATTCAAGTTAGTTTGAAATCGCGTGAGGTGGCGGTGGGACCCACCTCACTTAAACCACTTAAGCCACCTAAACACATGTCCTATTCATCATCTTCTCCTTCCATTCTCTCTCTCCACAAACCGTGACAGCCCCCCTCCCCCTTTCATTTTCGTTTTTTTTTTTATTTTCTCCATAACTTCATCAATCCTTAACCGAATCGGACGATTCTTGTCTTGAAATTCGATGGAAATCATCACCCGAACCCGTTCCACTGATTAGTTTCCTTTGAAACCCTCTCTATTGTGAGAAAAGAGGCATATACAGCCACGGAATTTTTGGGAATTTTGTGATTTTGGGGTTGATTTCTTAAGCCATTGCTTGTGGAGTTCTAGGAGGAGTCTTGTGACGTAATTGTGGGTAAGTTTCAACACCTCTCATGGATTGATTTGAGGATTTATTTTCATGAACCCTAAAGGGCATGGTTGTCAAACTCGAGATTTTATGCAAACTCGGAAGGGTGAACCAAAATCGTAAATCGCAAAATCGTAACACGGATCGTAGACTCGTAACACAAGATACAAATTATATTTTTATATATTTATATGCATATAAAGTAATATAATAAGCAAATTTAATTCAACCAACCAGCATAATAATGTCATACAATAGTCATAATCACATAATGTCTCAAACACATAAAGTCATAGCACACAACATTCAAATCCAAAACAATATATCAATCAAATCTCAATGGAATGATGGAATGTCATAATCATCCTCCTCCTCATCATCTTCATCACCATATTCATCACCATCTTCATTATTTCCTTCATCTTCATCTTCATCTTCATCACCAAAACAATGTTGCATGATGTCTTCTCCACCTTCCCCACCAAGTTCAGAACCACCATCAGCTTCAGGTATCAACATCAAAGCATCTTCATCTGTAGCATCTAAGTTAAATTCAGGGATATCCAAATCATCTATATCTTCAATGTTGGATGGGCTTCCCTCATTTTCCACAATCCATTCATCATCAGATGAAAGATCATCTATGCTATAAAACTCATGCTCTTGCCCAACACTTTTTTTGCGTTCCCTCTTCTTGGACAATTTTAAATTGGCCATCACATATACAAGATCATTCATTTTCTGCTGTTTCAGGCGATTTCTTTTCTTGGTATGGACCTAAACAAATACAAACCCAATGAATATATAGCAATTAGCAAGTAATAGGTAGTGATTTTAAA